AAATGGGACTAGCGGCCGGTCGGCAGTGGGGCATACCTTTAATCCCAGCACTCGGGAGGCAGAGCCAGGCGGGTCTCTGTGAGTTCGAGGCCAGCCTGGTCTACAGAGCGAGATCCAGGACAGACACCAAAACTACACAGAGAAACCCTGTCTCGAAAAACTAAAATGGGACTAACGGTGTGAGAGCAGCTACCTCAGAGGATCAGAGGATCGCCAAGCAATTGAAATGAGGTCGTGTGCTAAGTGGTACATACATTTCCCGAAATGAAATAAGATGCATGTATACTGATCTACAAGCACATGTATGTTTCTCTGTGTGTGATGTGTGTGCATTTGTGTATGCATATTGTCATGTGGATGGGTGTTTGTGCATGTGGAAGCCCCAAGTTGATGTCAGGAATCATCCTCCACCACTTTTTACTTTATTTAGTGAGTCAGTGTCTCTTAATCAAACCCAGAGCTGACTGATGGTCTCCCTAACCTCTTTGCTCCAGGGATCCCTGGCTCTGCCTTCAGGGCCAGAATTTCAGGCAGATCACCACACCTATCGGGCATTTGTATGGGTTTCAGGGATGCTGGCAAGGCTTAGGATTCTTCTCCCTCTCCTCTCTGCCATCTCTTGGAAAACATTATCTTAAGGTGTGTTACTTTTGTTTATGTTGCATTTGTTTAACTCTGTGAAGCTGTGTTACTTTGCCTGTCTAAAACACCTGATGTGCAGCTGGGCGGTGGTGCTGCACGCCTTTAATCCCAGCACTCGGGAGGCAGAGCCAGGCGGATCTCTGTGAGTTCGAGGCCAGCCTGGGCTACAGAGTAAGTTCCAGGAAAGGCGCAAAGCTACACAGAGAAACCTGTTCTGCAAAAACCAAAAACAACAACAACAACAAAAAACCCCAAAACCCAAACACCTGATGTGCTACTAAAGAACTGAGCGGCCAGTAGCAAGGCTGGAGAGAGAAATGGGCCAGGCTGGCAGGCTGAAAGACTAAATAGGAGAAATCTGGGAGGAAAGGAGAAAGAGGAAGGAGCCAGAGAAGGAGGAGGACTCCAGGAGCCAGCCACCCAGCTACACAGCCAGCCACGGAGCAAGAGCAAGATTGACAGAAGAGAATGGGAAAAACCCAGAGGCAAAAGGTAGACAGGATAATTTAAGTTAGGAAAAGCTGGCAAGAAACAAGCCAAGCTAAGGCTGGGCATTCATAAGTAAGAATAAGCCTCCATGTGTAATTTATTTGGGAGCTGGGTGGCAGGCCCCCAAAAGTGTAAAAAACAACCAATAACAGCCATCTTTCTTGATTCTTCCTCCTCTGTGTGATAGGGTAGGAGGTGGGAGCCCCAATCCTTTTTTTCTTTTATTAAAGATTTATTTATTTATTATATATACAGTGTTCTGCCTGCATGTAAGTCTGCAGGCCAGAAGAGGGCGCCAGATCTCATCACAGATGGTTGTGAGCCACCATATGGATGCTGGGAATTGAACTCAGGACCTCTGGAAGAGCAGCTGGTGCTCTTAACCTCTGAGCCATCTCTCCAGCCCCCTGGGAGCCCCAATCTTGTGGGCCTGGGCCATTTCCATTCCTCTCCCCATACCCTCTCCCTCCATGATATAAAGCACCTCTCATGACATGCCAGTGACTTCTCGACAAGGTTTTTCTGTGTATCCCTGGTTGTCCTGGAACTTACTCTGTAGATCAGGTTGGCCTCAAACTCACAGAGATCCACCTACCTCTGCCTCCCAAGTGCTGGGATTAAAGGTGAGTGCCACCACACTCGGCTGATTTTGCAAGGTTTTGTCTTTGCTCCTTCATTCCTTTCCTCCTTCCCTCCTTCCTTCATTAGTAATTGTATTCTTTAAGTGTGTGTGTGTGTGTGTGTGTGTGCACGCGCGTGCGCACACACGCACATGCATGCCCCCTTGGAAGCCAGAAGAAGGCGTCAGATCTCCTGGAGCTGGAGTTATAGATGGTTGTGAGCCATCTGATGTGGGTGGCTTAGCCATCTCTCCAGCTGCCTTCTCATTTCTTTTCTTTTTGTGCTTCTGAGAATAGAACCCAGGGTCTTGCATATGTGGCAAGAATTCAACCACTGAGCCACACTCCCAGTCCCTCACTGGGGGATTCTAGGCAGGGGCTCTACCACTGAGCCACACTCCCAGCCCCTCACTGGGGGATTCTAGGCAGGGGCTCTACCACTGAGCCACACCCCTAGCTCCTCACTGTGGGATTCTAGGCAGGGGCTGTACCACTGAGCCACACCCCAGCCCCTCATTGGGGGATTCTAGGCAGGGGCTCTACCACTGAGCTACACCCCCAGCCCCTCACTGGGGGATTCTAGGCAGGGGCTCTACCACTGAGCCACACCCCCAGTCCCTTACTGGGGGATTCTAGGAAGGGGTTCTACCACTGAGCCATTCTCCAAGCCCCTACACACACACACACACACACACACACACACACACACACACACACACACACACAAAACCCCTTTCCTGCCAAGTGTGATAGTATGTGCCTGTAATTCCTGCATTCTGTAGGCTAAGTCAATCAGATCACGAGTTCCAGGCTAACCTGGGCTACACAGTAAGGCTCGGTATCAAACAACAACAGCAAAACCTCTTTCCTCTGTAAGCATCCAGCCTCAGATATTTTGTTATAGCAACACAGACTGGACCAACACAGTACCTTTGGCTATAATCATGGTGTGACTACAGTAGGCTGTGTCTTTTCAAGATGGACTGAGATCCCCAACCTTGGACCGAAGGGCAAACGATTCAAGAAGCATGGCTCATAATTAGACCTGAGAAAGAACAGCATAAGTATTGACAAGGAGGAGACATGTCTGTGATGCCTAGACGTGAGAGGACTGTATGCCTGGAAAGACAGTGGACTCATCAGCTACTGGAAAGAATAAGAATAACTTCCCAAGTGTTAACTCCCCCAGAGTAGCTACAGTGAAGCCAGCACCACCCCCTAAATGATGGCAAAATGTGTTCCAGGCTCACTCAGCCCAACCAGTGTATTCTAGTCACTCCACACCAGGGCCTCATCTCTCCCCGACAAGCACTCTCGTCTCCCCCCACACTGTAAACAGACAGAGCAAACCTGCCATAACCACGGGACTGGGCTCCTAAATACATAGTTTGTCCCATCTGGACACTCATGTATGCTCAGCACGTCACCCACAGCCTGGCGAAAGGTAACTTCTCAGTAAACATCAGTCTGTGAAATAAATGAACCCTTCTGTTGCTGGCTTCTCAATTTGGAATGTGCCCAATAAAACCAGGGACATGCCGGTGAGTGCCAAAGACTCATAAACCCAATAGCAAATATTAGGGGTCAGCGTTTTTACTTCGCTTTTGAAGGATAATGTATCTCCGGGTTGCAATGCAGAATGGTAGTCACAGAAATGAAGCGAAATGGGGCTGGAGAGATGGCATATGGGTTAAGGGTGATTCCTGCTCCTGCTGAGGACCCAATTCAGTTCCCAGTAGCCAAGTCATGCAGCTCACAACCACCTGTAACTCCAGCTTCAGGGGATCTGACGGCCCCTTCTGGCCTCCTAGAGGACCTGCACACATGTGGCACACACACACACACACACACACACACACACACACACACACGCATGCACACAAATAAAGCTTATATAGAATTGAAGATGAATTCTCTCCCCCAACCCTCTTCTTTTGTAAGTACATGTGCTTTTATTTTTACTTAATTTATGTGAATTTCAGATGGTTGTGAGCTGCCATGTGGGTGCTGGGAACTGAACCCGGGTCTTCTGCAAGAACAAGTGTTCTGAACTGCTGAGCTCTCTCTCCAGTCCCTTCCCACCCTCGCTTGGTGTGACCTTTGCAGTGCTGTGATGGCCGTCAGGGCCTGGAAGGTACTAAGCAAATGCTCTAGTGCTGAGCCCTATCCCCAACCCCATGTCTTTGGAATCTGAGAAAGGAAGTGTGCTCACAGGACTCGATTCACATTCTGCTTCCCATGTTACATAAACAATCAATTTATATACAGTACAATTATGTTTAAAATGTTTTAAGATTTATTTCTAAGTGTGTGTGTGTGTGTGTGTACATACATACGTGTACCTGTGTGGGTGCCTAAAGAGACCAGGGAGTGCACTGTATCTCTGAAACTGGAGTTACGGGTAGTTAGGTTTTTAATATTTATTTTATGCCAATCTCCCTATGTAGTCTTGGCTGGACTGGAACTGGCTTATGTAGATCAGGCTATGCAAACCAGGCTGGCTTCGAACTCAGAGAGATCAATCTTCCTCTTCCTCTTGACTGCTAGGAATAGAGGTGTATGCCACCACCCTTGGCTTGTGAGCTACCATGTGGGTGCTGGGAACTGAACTTAGGTCCTCTGCAAGAGCAGCCAGTGCTTTTAACTCTTGAGCCGTCTCTCCAGGCCCATGTCCTGTTTTTCTAGAGGATCTGAGTTCAGTCGGAAGTTTTCTTGAGGGGCGGCTCACAACTGTATTTCCGGTTCCAGGGGATCAGATGTCCTCTGCTGACCTCCATGGCACCAGGCACACATGTGGTACACAGACAAACACACAAACATAAATAATAGAAAGACTTGAAAATAACTTTCCACGTGTGTATATTTATATGGACCCAACTGTTCTTATTTTATTCAGGGAGTATCAGTCTGTTACAATCTGTTGCTTTTAACATTAATGCTTGGGCTGGGGTGTATCTCGGTAGAATGCTTGCGTGGCCACTAAGAGCCCTAGGATTCCATCCCCAGAGCTGAATAAACCAGGCACAGTGGTGCATGCATGTAGTAGCCCTGGCTCTTGAGAAGTGGAGGCAGGAGGGTCAGAAGTCCAAAATTTTGGTTATATAACGAATTCAAGACAAACCTGGGAGATATAAGATCATGTCTGGGGGTGGCAGCGGGGTGGGGGGAGAGATAGAGAGACAGAGAGAATGAAAGAAAAAAAAGGAGCCTCAAAGCGGTACTCAAATTCTCTGAATTGGCCTGTGGGTACACGTCAAGCTGGCTTCTGTGTCCTTACCAGCTCTGCCATTATTCTTTAACTGTACCCTGACTTTCTGAACCCAAACGACATTGTTGCGGGCTTACTTTGCATCTTCCTTGTACCCTGCCCATGCCCTGCCAGAGAAAGGAAGTGAGGAGCTGACCCTTCGCTTCCTGTAATGACCCCTCTTTGCCTTGATCTCTGACTTCAATGCAGCGGGACCCGCTAATGGCAGGGGCGACGGTCTAGCGGTTGCCATGGAGACCGCAGAGCCACCGTGCACCAGGAAGCTATGACGTCATTGCCGGAGCAAGTGCAGCGGCCTCCATCATCACATCCTGGTCTTTAACTCTGCCACGGGGCACATGAGGGCGTGCCAGCACTGGGCCAGCAGTGAGAGGTGACCTACTCCAACTTGCCAACCCACGACACTCAAATAGGGTGGCAGCAGCAGCAGGGAGACCAGCGGTCTTGGTCTCGGGTCCACAGAGATTGTCAAGGGCACCAGCAGTGCAGCAGAGTCTGAGTCATCAAACTCTCCTTGGAGCGGCCTTGCCCAGGACCTGGGAGCCACGGCCACCCAGCTCCAATTCCGTGGCCAACGTGAGCCACTAGGAACTTCCATGAGTGAGCTCTGACGGGGCAGGCTGAAGAAGGCTGGGTTCCCCTTGACTGAGTTGGACCAGTTGGGTCTATTAGTAGCCTCACCCGTGAGGCCTCGTTTTCACATCATCCTCAGAAAGAGCTCTCGGCACCCGGGATCCTTCCGTGGGTTCTCGAGGCAGCTCCACCGCGCAGCAGCGCGCACACAGCTGCCTCAAGGAGCGGGGCAAGATGGTATTTGGAGTCCAGGACATTGTATTGTTAGAACATGCATGCAAGGCCTTGGAGGTGGACAGTTACAAGTCCCTGATGATCCTGGGGATCTCAGAGGACTGTAGCCACCAGGAATTTTAAGACATCGTACGGGGGCCCCCTGAAACCACTAGGCAAGTTCGAAGTGGCTGGGAAGGCCTTTATGGAGGAAGATAGATCCAAGGCAGCTGTCATTAGGTTGGCAGAGGACCTCAATTACGACGTAGTTCCCAGGGAGATCAAGGGTAAGGAAGGTATGTGGAGAGTGGTCTACATGCCCAAATGGCAGGACATCGAATTCCTCACCAAGCTCAATTTGTTCCTGCGGGGAGAGTGCAGGATGGTAGAGGACATGACCTGAGTCCTCAGGCGGGAGCTGTGTCCCACCACAATAGGTCCTGGAGAGCTGCCTTCCAGGAAGTGCTGCCTGTCTCCACAGGGGGAGAATGCAGACCAGGGGGCCGCCGCCAAGGGGGATGGGATGCCCCCTCTTGAGGACCCAGAGAAAGAGAGCAAGGCTGAAGAGGGCAAGAAGGGCAAGAAGAAAAACAAGAAAAGTCGGCGCCGACAGCAGGCTTCTGAGAAGCTGTGAGGTGATGTTAGATGAGTGTGTATGGGGGGCGGGCTTTGCGGAGGGAGGGTGGGAGTCATCTGAGTGGGTACGCGATGACTGTGGGAGGGCACATAGCATTGAGAGTGAGTGTGGATAGGAGGTGATGGACCAGTAAGTGGATGACTTCTGAGTCAGAATGAGTATCACCCGAGTGTTGCCCGTGGCATCTTTTTTTTTTTTTTTTAAGATTTATTTATTTATTATATATACAGTGTAATGTCTGCATGTATCCCTGCAGGCCAGAAGAGGGCACCAGATCTCATTACAGATGGTTGTGAGCCACCATGTGGTTGCTGGGAATTGAACTCGGGACCTCTGGAAGAACAGCCAGTGTTCTTAACCGTTGAGCCATCTGTCCAGCCCGCGCGTGGCATTTGACTTCGTGAAGAAAGCTTATTTATTTTGGTCAATGCTGAGAATTGTGCGAGGGCTTTGAGCATGCTATTCAAGTGCTCTATCAGTAAACCATTCACCCAGCCCCCTCACTAGGTGATTCTAGGCAAACTCTCTGTTAACGAGCTATGACTACAGTGTGAGCCTGGTACTTTTATCTAAGTGAACTTGTGGACTACAGTTGAGTGGGTGTGGCTAACATTCGGTTGAGTGTGGGTCATCTCTTCCTTTTTTTTTTTTCGTTCACTCTACATATGTCTATTCCATACCTACTGTATCCCAGAATGGTACTTGGATCTTGGAATAAAGAGGGATGAAAAATCCGCGTCTGTGACACTTGTAATAATGGTGTTACTTGGATACATCTAAGTGAGCAGAGTTTTCATTTAAGTAAATTTGGATAAAGTTGAGGGGTCATATATGGTTGCGTGTGGGACACTTTATTCATTCAACCAACAAAATTTTCCTGAGCATCTACAATGTTCCAGGTACAGGACACACGGTCAATGATTTTTAGCCTTGCCCTCATGGCTCTAATTCTGTATTTGAGGAATTGTGGGTAACATTTGAGAACAGGAAAGTGTGTGTGTGGGGGTGGGTATTGCTGGAGTGAGGGAGAGCAACTTCTGATCGAGAAGGGTCCAGAGACTTGTAAAAGACTTTTAGCAACTTGGAGGCCAGCAGGACCAGCCCCGCAGAGGGAACCAAATCCACAACTGTGCATGTGACTGTTGCCATAGAGACCACAGTGGGGACAGGTGGCCTGCTAACCATTGCCTGAAGAGAAGATCCACAATGGCAAGCTTTTGGAAGCGTTTTGCTAGACTTGCCAAAACCGGAGCTGACCCTGGAAGAACCTGTCGTGAAGATCCTGGCTGGGAACAAGGGTTACTATTCTTCTTTCGCCAGAGGCTTGGTGTTGGAGACAGTTCATAAACCATGGTTGACATGTGGGCTCCCCACTGGCTCCACTGAGGACTTTGCTGTTCTGTATATATCCCTGAAAAGCTGTGGCTGTTCAATGCAACTCTCCCTTACTGAAGGTAGGGTTAGGGGTGAAGCCCCATTGGCACCTGAGATATAAGCATGTATGTCTCCCCAAATTAAAATCCAGGAATCATGTCTTGGAGGGAAGGGAGATTCTTTTCTTAAAAAAAAAAAAAAAAAAAAAAAAAAAAAAGCCCAGACTTTCCATTGAGAGAGAGAGAGAGAGAGAGAGAGAGAGAGAGAGAGAGAGAGAGAGAGACTAAGCCAACCATGATGGCTCATGGAAGCTCACTTGGAAGGTGGAAGCAGGAAGATCAAGAGTTTGAGGTCAGTCTTGGCTGTATAGCAAGTGTGAGGCCAGTCTGGGCTACATGGGATTTTGTCTCAACAAGTAATAACTGTGTCCTCAGGTCTATAAACTGAGTATCATGTGAGGGTGGAGAAGAGGGAAAACTTTGGGAGCACAGTACGAAAGTCCTTGAGCCCGCAGATCCAGAGAATCCTGGAATGTTAAGCACACAGGATTGTCTTTCCAACAGGAAAGGTGAAAAACCTGTTCTTCCATCCAGAAAGCTGAGACTTGGAGGTGACTAGGAACCTGATGAGCTGTGTTATCTGTTGGGCCAGGCCATATCAAGCTCCTACATCTAGGACAGAGGGGGCTAGTAATCGAAATGACCCTTATAGCCAGAGGCTCCCCCAACTCCACAACCAGAACCAGAGGACGCTAATAGTCCAATGATCTCTATGCTCTTAGAGACCAGGCTAGACCCTTATACCCTTAAGCTAGTAGAGGTAGCCTATCTCCAGAACCCATTTTTGGAAGAAATGGTATGTACCCTGAGCTGAGTTTCAATGTAATTACGCTTCCTTGTGCAATGGGGATTGTATTACACCAGGTAACTTTTCCCTAAATTACACTGAGCTTAATTTAAATACATTGTGAATAAACCTCCTGTTAATAGACTCCCTGAAATCTGATCCAGATTGAAGTCAATCTGCACCCGGTTTTCATTCTTATCTCTTTGAGCAGTTCGCTTCCCTGTATGACACCTGCAGGGACCCCCCCCCCCTCAGAAAAACAAATGGTGAAATTCAGATGTGGATGGGTGGAGAGAATGTCTCTTTCTGGGACACCTACAAACGTCTACTACTTCAGGGATCTACTAGGGCTCCAGGAAAACTGCATTTCAGAAATGTAATTTATGGGGGCTGGACAGATGGCTCAATGGTTAAGAGCGCTCACTCCTCATCCAGAGGACCTGGGTTCAATTCCCAGCACCCACATGACAGCTCACAAGTGTCTGTAACTCCAAGACCTGACAACCTCATATATACACTAAGGAAAAAACACCAATGCACATTAAATAAATTAACCTCCCCCTTTTTAAAAAAATGTAATTTATGAACACACAAAAATTTAATGTTTTGGTGCTGGAGAGATGACTCAGTGGTTAAGAGCACTGTCTGCTCTTCCAAAGGTTCTGAGTTCAATTCCCAGCACTCACATGGTGGCTCACAACCATCTGTAATGAGATCTGGTGCCCTCTTCTGGCTTGCAGACATACATACCAACAAAACACTGTATGCATAATAAATAAATCTTTAAAAAGATTTTTAATGTTTTGAGACAGTCTTGCTCTGCAGCCTATGCTGATCTGAAACTTACTGTGTACCCCAGGCTGGCCTTTATTTAGCTCATGATCCTCCTGCCCTGGTCCCCCTAGGGTTGGAATTACAGGCTTTCACTACCACCTATGCCTATGTGCTGACTTTTCTACTATCTTAAAACACGGAGACTCCTGTATCTTGTTCGTTTGGGGACAAAACATCAAATTGTTACCATCAAACTCACTCAATTCTCTGGCCTCAGTCTCCCAAGTGCTGGCATTATAGGTAGGAGTCCTTCCCCCTTCTTTCCCTTGGTGTCGTACTTCGATGGGCACCAGATAAATCTTTTTCATTTTTAATTTTGTTTTGAGACAAAACTATGTAGCCCTGACTGGTCTGGAACTCATTATGTAGACCAGGCTGGCCTCAAACGAACAGAGATCCACCTGCAAATACGTCTCAAGCGCATGGATCAAAGGTGTGCGCCACCATGCCCAGGTACGCACAGGTCTACCTGTGACTTTTCCATCCCCCTCTTTGATTTCTTGGAAGTTACTACTTACCGCCAGAGCCAAAGGCCGTCTCCGTTCCCATCTGGGAAGCCATGCCATCGGAAACGCCTGTCTCTGTTCATGTGTTCTCAGCAAGTGCCAAGACACCAAAGGGAGTTTCCCAATTCTGTTGATGGACATAACCTGAAGTCTCAAATGAAGACACTGGTTTCTATCTGTCTCCCAAGCTGGCTCTATCTGGAAACAGCCTCAGCATCCTTCTCTTTGGTACAACGCTTGGCGGGTTAGAGCTTTTTCCCTGCCTTCTCCACCAACGCTTTTGAACTTCTTACAGATCCGTGGTCAAGAAGCCTGTGGCTCTCTAGGCTGTTGAGATGATGAAGCCAGTAAAGGGGCCTGCTGCAGAGCCTGGCTGCCAGAGTTTGATTCCCAGGTCCCATGTGGTGGAAGTCCTCCACATGAGAGTCACGGACGGCATGTGCACCCACCCCAATGCACACACACACACACACACACACACACACACACACACACACACACACACACATACACACACACAAAATAAATACAATTTTAGATAAAGAAGAGGTTCTTGCCGGACAGTGGTGGCACATGCCTTTAATCCCAGCACTCAGGAGGCAGAGGCAGGTGGATCTCTGAGTTCAAGGCCAGCCTGGTCTACAGAGCGAGTTCCAGGACAGCCAGGGCTACACAGAGAGAAACCCTGTCTCGAAAAACAAAATGAAACAAAAACAAACAAACAAACAAAAGAGGTTCTTGGCCCCACATTTAACTTCTCAGTCCTGGTCCTGGTGTTCCCACTCTCAGAACACTGTGAGTCTTTGTTAATGATTGCATTAGCCTGGTCTCACGTAGATGTGGCACAGCCTCCAGTACGTCTGTCTGACGCATGCTGTTTAACATCAAGGCACAATGGCTGCATAATAAAGGAGAATGTGACATTTTTTCCTTCTCATTTTGCAGCCTGAGATGTGCATGTTTCTGCACATCTCATGTGCATGTCCCTGGTGTTTCTCATATGGCCACTGTATCCATGACAAGCGACATGGACCGTTATTAAACGCTGCCCACGAATCCAGAATCCAGAGGCCATTTCCTTTGGGAGGTTTTTGGGACCAGGTGACATTTCCTGACGTTGACTCCAGGCTGCTGTGTGACAGGGACAATTTGGTACTTAGCTGCGTCCACGCTCCAGATGTCAGGCAGGAATCCCCACGTGATTACAACAACCCTCCCCACAGCCCCATTTAAGAGGCGGGTCCACCCTTCTTCGTTCTTTGTGGTTGATACTCTGCTGTATAAATATAAACTAATGAAATAAATGGATGCTAATGAAACCACAGTGTGTCCTGAGTATGCTGGAGGAGGTGAGGGAGCCACGTTAAGACTTCCTTTGGGAAAATGATCTGGTTGCTTTTTTTTTTAAAGGGGGGGGAGCTGGAGAGATGGCTCAGTAGTAAAGAGCACTGACTGCTCTTCCAGAGGACTTGGGTTCAATTCCCAGCACATGGCAGCTCTCCAAAGTCTGACACCCTCACACAGACGTACATGCAGGCAAAATGTCAATGCACATAAAATAAAAATAAATAAAATTATTTAAAAAAAAAAGAGTGGGCCAGTAAAATGGTTAAGCAGATAAAGACTCTTTTGGCCAAGCCTGATGATGTGAGCGGGATCCCCAGCACCACCCATGTGGTAGAAGGAGGGAGAAGATTCTCACAAGCTGTTCTGTGACCTCCTCATACATGTGTGTGCGCCTCTCTCTCTCTCTCTCTCTCTCTCTCTCTCTCTCTCTCTCTCTCTCACACACACACACACACACACACAGAGAGCTTATTTTTTAGATTCCCAAAACTCCTTTGATGAGTTTTGCCTGATAATTTTTAAAAGCGATGCTATCTGATGCCGCTGGCTGAGAGAACATGGAACACAAAGTCTTCTTCTACCTGGCTGGCTTCCCGGGACCCCAGGCTCTTTTCCAACGCTCAGGTGAAAGGTGGAACAATTTGTTTAGAATAAAAACAAGTGTTGGGGAGACGGATGTGCTGGGCTGTGATCCCACTTGTGGGAGGAGAAGACTGAAGGGTGAGTTTAAGGCCAGCCTTGGCTACACGAAACCCTGTCATAAAAACTTAAAAACCAGGGCTGTTTATGTAGCTCTGTTGTAGATTGCTTGCTTAACCTAGCTGGCATGCAGGAAGCCCCTGGGTACCACCCTCGGCGATGCAAAAATTGGATTCGGAGGCGCATACCTGTCATTCCAGTACTTGAGAGGAAGAGGCGGGAGGATCAGAAAATCAAGGTCATTCTCAACTGTATACTGAGTTCACTGTCTCAAAAGTGAAATGAGGGGCTGGGGAGATGGCTCGGCTATCAGGAGCACTGGTTGCTCTCTCAGAGGACCTGTGTTCAGGTCCCAGCACCACATGATGACTTATGGCATCTGTCACTGTGTGTCTAGGAGACCCACTGCCATCTTCTACCCCCTCTGGATACCAGGTAGACAAGTGGTGCACATGTATGCATGCAGTCAGAACATTCATACCTGTAAAATAAATTTTGTCTAGAAATAAAAAAAAAATAATGAAACAACACACACACACACACACACACACACACACACACACAAAACAAAACATGAAACAGTGACAGGTCAAGTTAGGCATGGTGGTACATTCTTTTAATCCCAGCACTTGGGTGGCAAAGGCCGGAGGATCTCTCTTGAGTCCACTGCCAGCGTGGTCTAGCCACATAAGGAGTTCCAGGACACCTAGGGCTACAAAAAACAAATGATCCCCCCAACCCCTAAAATAGGTCCCTGAAGAGAAAAAGAGAACCCACCTTTTCCCACTTTGTTCTTTTTATTTGTTTAAAAAAAATGTACTTATTTGTGTGTATGGGCGGGTCAGAGGACAACAGAGAACTGGTTCTGTCCTTCCACGGTGTGGGTCCTGGGGGTTGAACTCGAGCTTAGTGCCTGTGCCTGCTGAG